TAGCTAGTGTTTGGCCATAGATTTCTAAATTTATTTTGAAAAATCTGATTTGGATGAAGTTTGGTTTGAAGATATAAATATGTTTGGACATATGTTTTCAAAACATATTTCTCAAATTTATTTTGGAGAAACATGTATATTATTAGTGTTTGTAAATATTTTGGTCCAAAATCAACTATTGAGCTGGTTTTGGGATTTGGGATTTTGCCTAAATATAAGCAAAATCTATAGTCAAACATGTGTTTGCCAAATAAAATCTAACTTTATTTCGGTAAAATCTATGGCCAAATGGGTCCTTGGTACAACAACAACAACGGGTCCTTAGTACTACCCTAGAAATACTGTAATTTCTGGAGAAGAACATTACCTAGTTTTGCTTTATTCTGTATTCAGTATTTAGTATCCGCTTTGAACTCATTAATCTGAAGTTGTACTGGAAAGACATACTTTAGAGTAGGGGTGTTCATGGTTCCGTTTGAGTTGGTTTTTTCCTAAAAAGAAACCAAACCAAATAAATCGGTTTTTCAAATATTGAAACCAAATCAAACCAATTAAGTCGATTTTTTAGCGATTCGGTTTTGTCGGTTTTTTCGGTTATTTTTCTTTAACACTACCAAACGCATATTCCGGCGACTACATTTTCAACGTAACACTAAAATCAATTGCTCTTTGAGAAATCTATCATTTACCAAGATATATTGATGTTAATTTAATCAAATAGTGATGAATAATTTAAGTACTCAATTAAAAATCGATAATTTTAGCATAAAATAAATTCTTGTACTTAGCAAAAGAAAACTACCAATCAAACTAGAATGTAAAGACAAAGAATTACTTTATTATAATAGCAAAGAACTAGACTAAAAATACAAATGACTAATATGTACCATAAAACTTTAGAAACTTTATATAAAAATATATATATATATATATATATATATATAGGTGTAACAATAAATTTAATAGCTACTTTTATAGTCGGTTTCGTTCGGTTTTTTCGGTTATTTTTTTTATTAAAATCAAAACCAAACCAAACTTGATCGGTTTTTAAAATTCAAAACCAAAACTAAACTAAACCCAAAAAATATTGGATTTCTCGGCTAGATTGGTTCGATTTTCGATTTGATTTGATTTTTCGGATTTTTATGAACACCCATACTAGAGGTATAAAACTCCGTACTATAACCATATCTTTTGGTGGTCACTAACCAGTAACCAACTTTATATCAGTGCATAGTTAAAATCTGATGTAGGGTTTTCCTTTCTTTTGTTTTTTGCGACCTCTCTATATATCACCAACCTCTCCATTTCCTATAAGAATTTCTAAAAGAACAAAATAAAACAACAAAAACAGGTTTTGCACATTTCTTTTTACGCTAGTTAATCAAAATGTCAGTAATAGTAATGTACACAAGTCCTGTACTACGAAAATAATTAAGTGTGGGTTATTAATGATATATTAAGTCCCTTTATCAATAGCCTTGCTAGTTGGGACATATGCAGTCTTAGGGCTGCAGGTTCATCTCAACCCATAATTTTCAATACGGAATATAGATATATATGTAAAAACTTAATAAGGTATTAATAAATATTATATTTGAATCATAATTTTAACAGTATAATATCATGGGTTCAAGCCGCGGAATCAGTCTCTTATAGAAATGCGGGGTAAGGCTACATACAATAAATCCTTGTGGTCTGGCCCTTCTCCAGACACCGCGCATAGCGGAAGCTTAGTACACCGAGCTGCCCTTTGATGCTGAAAATTTAAAATGTTAAATACACTAAATTTTGTTGAGTTTCTTTTTAATATAGAAAGGTATTAAAAAGAGGGTGAATGAGAAATGGAGTGAAATGAAAATTTTGAGTAAAATTTTAAGTTTCCCTCTCTTTTTAATGAGACATTGTCCCTCATTGGTAGAGGAAAAGGAGTTTGGTGGGTTTATATACAAATGCACTTCTTGTATCTCTTAAAGAGTTAGGAAGAAGGTAAGCCTCGCGCCATCGTCGTCGCTCGCTCGGCTCGGCTTCGGCTACGGCTTCGGCTTCGGCTTCAGATTCAGATTCANGCTACGGCTACGGCTACGGCTACGGCTACGGCTTCGGCTTCGGCTTCGGCTTCGGCTTCGGATTTGGTCAAATGATTGATTGATTGCTACGACTTCGGCTTCGGATTTGGTCAAATGATATCGATTGATTGCTTCGGATTCGGATTCGGATTTGGTCAAATGATCGATTGATTGATTAATTTTTTGGACCAAATTTATTTGTTAATAGTAAATATTAATGTAATAATATCCGTGTTTGTAGCGGATATGTTCCAATCCGTGGATTTGTGCGTCTCCCACCATTGCCAAATGCTTGCTCCATAATAGCAAGTGATTGCTCCATTAGTTAGCAGCTTGGTGCTCCGTCCACCATGGCCAAGTGCTCCACTAAATGAGTGGCAGCGGGTTCGTATTTAGCAGCTAACTGCACTATAAATAGATGGTGCAAGCAGCTTGTTGAAGACACACCGAAACAGAATTGAGAGCTATTGATCTTCTCTTCACCGAAAACTCAACGTTGGCTATTATTTGCATTCCTTCCTCTCAGAATCTCCGTTCGACTTCTGAGTTTTCCTCCCTTGTTCTGCATTATTTTAAACTACAAACAAAGCATCCGTAAGTGTGATTTGCTGCCGAACTTTGTATTCGCTGAAACACTGGGGTTTGAAGTACCGCTACACCAGTGTGTAATTCGTTCTATCCTGGGAGGAAATAATCCATAACCTTGGGTACTAGGAGGAGATTAAATTCCTTAAGGAAATACTGTGAATTCAGTGAGCTCGAATTAATTTCTGTTTTATTTATATTTACGTTTATAAGCTAACGTTCTAATTTCCAGAATCATTATTTACAAATACAAGCATAATAATAACAAATTTAAATCCTAAATCCGCCTTTACTTGCATGATGTGGTCCTTCAATTTTGTTTTAGCAAAATAAAGTACAGTACTAATGGGATAAGATGCATGCATCTCTAAGCATACTGCTTTAAATTTTTGGTCTATTCATACCCTTAGTAGCAAATCATCTCTTTGTTGCCCTTGGCAGGAGATTCAGCGTAGAATGAGCGGACTCCCCGATACAAAATACCTTTATTATTAGCAAATCATCTCATTGTTGCACTTGCTAGGAGATTCAGCGTGGAATGAGTGAACTCCCCGATCCAAATTACCTTTATTATTAGCAAATCATCTCATAGTTGCCCTTGCCAGGAGGTTCAATGTAGAATGAGTGGAGTCTACGGTCCAATTTTATCAAAAAATAATGTCCAGATTCACTGTTTAATTTTTTACTTCAGTTTCAATCGATTGGAGTTCCATTTGTTAATGGAGAAAATGATACTTTATCCAATTATCCTTAATGCGGGTGGGAAATTAGATCAAAACTCTAACAAAGGGAAAAATTAAGAAATTTTGAATAGTAAATGAACAAGATTAAGCAATCTCCATTAAAATTGGATAAATTTAACCTTTATATATATATATATATATATTAGTTAAAGTAAAGTAATATTCGTAATTCTTATGTCAGTAAATGAATTTAAACCTTTTTTTAAAACTTAAAAAAGCAAAGAAGCGTGATAACGGCCTAGGATTAGCAACTAACGGAAAAAAAATATTTAGTGGGTGTTTGGACATAAGAATGATAAGATTCCAAAAAGTAAAAATGATATTTAAAAATTGGAGTTGTGTTTGGACATAAATACAATTTGGAGTTATTTTTGAATATTTCTAAGTGATTTAAAGTGAAAATTTTGAAAAATAATTTTTGGAGTTTTTCAAAATTCTGAAAAATTTCGAAATGCAACTTCAAGAGAAATTTGAAATTTTCATGAACAAATACTAATTCTGAAAAAAATTAACGTTTTTAAAAAATAAAATTAAAAAAAAATTCTTATGGCCAAACTGGCCATTAACTAACTGTATCGTTTTGCAAGCGTAGTGGGATTTTGACATCAGATAAGAAGAAACAAATGGTCCAATGAATAATGGAGTATAAAATAGGTGTCGTACAAGTAGATAAAAGAAGAGTTTCAATGACCTTGACATTAATTTATAATTTAAGCACACATTTTACATGCTTTAAGTATTGGAGGTTCCAGAAAAGCACGAATATTATATTGAAAGAAAAGTAAACGATATTGTCATTCAGTGGTGGGGTCAAGTGTATAGTATTCCCTATAGAAATAACCACATAAACATGGAAAAGAGGGCACATATGTGGACATATAAAGACAAACAAGCAGGAAAACACACATGACATGACTGTCTTTTATAATTTTTAAAAGCCAATTGGGATAATAGTGACATCTCCATTTTACACCATACAGGTAGCTTTATTCCTTCAATAATAATGTTAGTGTACGAAATAACGCATTGGCATCTTGATTATCTCCTCGAATATTGATATCTTCTGTCGTCAGTATAAATATCAAATAATTATTCCAGACTTAGGAATAATCTACAAGATTTGCACCACGCATATAGTGGCGTAGCCGCACAATGTGAAAAGTTAAACATCTTTCATTAGAAAATTATATTGAATATATAAAAAATTATATTTAATCTTATTTCGATTTATGTGAACCTATTTTTTTTAATCCGTATCAAAAAAATGATCCATTCTACACAAGTTCAAAAGTCTTCTTTTTTTTTTTTTAAATTTCGTGTCCAGTCAAATAAATTCATATAAATTGAGAAGGGAGTATTATTATATAGGTCAAAAATCTATATATTAAATCTTGAACAACTTCCGTAAAATTTCTGATTTCGCCATTGCTAGCTGGCCGTTTTAGTATAAGAAATTCACTTAAAAAAAGAGCGGCAGAAATAGACTAAAAATGTCAATCCATAAGAGAGCATGCAACAATATGCATTTCTTTATTTGACAAAATTTTAGCTTTATAAGGATTTGGATATCTTATTACAACAACGTTGTTAACCACTTAAAGAATACGAAAAAACTAGCTATTTATATATTAAACAATGAACTGATTTAGGCATAATAATAAGTAAACAACAAGTAAATATATTAGTAATCAACATTTCTACTACTGCTCTAAGCTTCTAAGAAGAGCAGATTTTAGACCATTTTCAGTACCTAAACATTTAGGAACTTTAACAACAATATCCTGAAGCATAAGATCATTAACACTTGAAATACTAGCATGGTGTACATGTAATTCAAGATCTTGAAGTGCACGCATTAATCTTGCTGAAGGATAATTCACATTTTCCGATTGTACCCTTATCATTGCATCTGGACCTAAAATCTTGACTTCAACTTCAACTGTTAAATTATTTGGTCCATATGAAGATGATGAGTTAGAATTTGGCCTAATTTGATCCACGGAAGTTGTAGTAGTAGTAGTAGTCTGGTTGTCAAGAGTTGTACTGTCCATTGACTCAACTTTCAGCTTCTTTTTGCTCTCTGATTTTTTGTTAAGCTGCAACTCTAATTCATCCACTTTGGTTTTTAACTCATTGATGTATTCAACAGCATCTGATAACAAAGAAGCTTTGTCCATTTTTGTAACATGAGGTACAACAGAGCGTAACGCGTAAAATCTGTGGTTTAGTTTCTCCCTTCTCTGTCTCTCTGCTTCGACATGGTTTAACGGGGTTTCACGGGTTGCCCCTGGCTTTCTCCCTCTCTTTTTTGGTGTTTTTTTCTCCACTATTGGCTTGTCAACAAGTACTTGACAATCAGAATCCGAATGGTCAGAATCTTGAAATAAAGTTGTTGCAGCTGTTGCAGTAGTGGAAATTTCCTCGGTTTTCGGCTTTTTGCTAGTGTTGTTCTTGTTATGATTGTTGTTGTTGATGGCTAAAATTTGACCATTTTCTTGTAAGCAAGAGACAAGGCCAATATTAGCAAAAGAAACGGTTTTTTCAAGACCATTTTCTTGATCTAAAGAGAAAAGTGATTTAACTTGTTGAACTAAGCTCCAATTTTCTTTGATTAAATCACTTGATCCAAGTTCAAGAACTCCATTTGAAGTTGGAATACAAACCAAAGTTTCAATACCATGAACTTGAGCTTCTTTAGCCCTTTCACAACTACAAAACTGAAGTTGTTGTGCCCCATTTAGCCACACAAAAGAACCAGTACAAAAAGCTTTACCAGGAATTCCATCACCAATAGAAAAAGATTGAGCTAAAGACATAACATAAAACCATTCAATATCAGTAACATCACCACCATCTTCTACTACACCATCTCCATTTTCACAAATCAAAGCTTGTATTCCTTTTATAACATTTTTTCTCTCTAAAGAACTAGCTTTATTAGCACCATTTACTTCTCCTTTTTTGACTTTTGTACCATGGAAATGGCCATCACCCCATGCTAAAAATAAACGACCATCATCATCATTTGAAGTTTGCCAAAAAATAGCATAAGACCAAGAATCTGTTTGATTTTTGAGAACATGTTGAAGCATTTGTTGAAGGGTAGATAAAGGTTGGTTTGTTTGAGAAAATAAAGAGGGTATGGAAAATGATGAGGAAGAGGAAGAAGAGGAGACCATTAGTTCATCCATTTTTTCTTGATAATTTTTCTTCTTTTATTAAGATATATGATATGATTGTGGTGAGGGAAATTATAAAGGTGAAGGGTTTAAGAAAGATGAAGATAAAAGTGAATGAATAAAGAGAGTAGATATGTAGTACCTGGTCTAGGTTACTAGTGAATAGTGCACTCACTAAAATAGTTAAGTGTATGAATCATTAAAGTTTAGGTTAGGTTAGAAATATAGTTAGCAGCTGTAATAATACTTCGTTGGTCTTTCTTTCATTAAAAAAATATTTGAATAGTTTATTGTAAAATTACCATTTTTCTTACTTCAATCATCTAGTGTCCATAATTTATTAATCGATATTTTTTTTGGAAGTATTGATACTTTTGGGATACGGTCCTTTTTCGAACCCTGTATAAACACGAGATACTTTATATATCGAATTGTCATCTTTATTTGATATCTGAAATTCACTAGCTCTATTAATTTGAACAAACGCCACAGAAAACTCATTATGAGAGTTTTAGTGTTATTTACTTAATAAGACATTGAGGGGTCGTTTGGTAGGATGCATTAGAGAAAATAATGTATGCATTAGTTTTTAGTATTACTAATCCGGCCCTTGTTAGGTATATTTTTTCAACATATGTATTACTAATGCAAGTGTTAGTTATACAACCTATTTGGTATTATCCTATGTATAGCTAATACATAGCAAACCATGGTATTAACAATACCAAGGCTATTAATGCATGTATTAGCATGGTTAAAGACAACATTGTCCTTAAAATCCCTTAAAGCTAAAGAATATGGAGGATATTTTTATAAACAGTTAATATTATGCAATTTTAATACATCACACCAAACAATGAATAAGAAATAATTTCTGCATAATTAATATTTGCTTACTAATCCTTACATTACTAATCTCTGCATTACTAATACACTTTACTCAGCACTATTCTTATATACCCTACCAAACGACCCCTTATTCTTGTTGCTCAAACCGAAAACCTCTAATTAAATAAACATTCTTATAAAATTCTCGAGAAACCCAAATCTAGTAGTAGTAGTAGTATATTTGCAGTGAAAATCGAACCTAAGACTCAACGATTCTCTCGCTTCAACTTAGCTTTAACCCCCCACCCCCTCACCCCACCTCCAAAAAAAAGAACTGCATACAGTACTTTTTTTTTGTAATTTCAACAAGTATCGTAGTAACATTTAAAAACAATTTTTTAGGACTTAAAAAATATTCATGGTTAAACATAAATAATATTTGACTCTGATAAATGGAAAGAGTAGATCAAGAAGTTTGTGGAACCACCAATTTATTCAAAATAATTTCAAACTTCACAACTTAAGGGTTAGATGATTGAAATATGGGCGATCTAATAGCTTGACGAGTTATCAATTTCATCGAGCATTATTATTCAAGTGAGTAACTGAACTTGAGCACCCAAACGTATGTTCACTAAATAATTTAATTTTAAAATATTTCTAATAATTAATTTATAATTGGATATCTTCTTCTTCATTATAGTAGAGTAAAAAAGTTTCAATCAGCAATATATGTGGCCTATATTTAGTATTTGCTAAAAAGAAAATGTTTAGATCATCACTAGTTTTTATCAATGTCATATATGCAAAAAACTAAAAGTATATTATTAAATCGGAGCAGATAGAGCATCATTTTAGAGTGTAGCAAGACTAGCAAATATAAAAAGTGAAAAAAAAAGGTCAGCATGGAAAAAGTGATTAATTTAGGGTGTGTTTGGTATAACGGAAAATATTTTCCGTGGAAAATGTTTTCCAAGTGTCATGACCCAAAATCTCACCCATTGTGATGGCGCCTATCGTGGTACAAGGCAAGCCTCAACTCAACATCTCAACACAGTAGAACTTTTAAATAAAGGCGGAAGCAATTAATATTAAATAAAAACTTTTAGAACAGAATATAACTCCAAAAGTACTAAATAATTCATCCCTAAAACCCGGTGTCACTGAGTGCATGAGCATCTAAATGATAACAACATCCGACTGATAAAACACCGTCTGGAAAAATAGAACAGTACAACATGAAAGGAAAGGAGAGTCAAGGTCAGCGAACGCCATGCAACTACCTCAATAGTCTCCTGAGTCTGACTCCTCAATCAGTTACCGCCGTGACCAGAAGTATCTAGATCTGTACACGAGGTACAGGGGGTAACGTTAATACACCAACTCAGTAAGTAACAGAAATAAATAAGGAACTGAGAAGTAGTGACGAGCTATACAATAGAGTTATCTCAATAACTTTCAAATAAGAGTAGTCATACTTTCAATTTAACAGTTTAAGTCTTATCAGTGCATACTCAAATAAACCAGATATCAAATATTCCAGAAATATGTACGACAGGGACAAATAACAATCAAGTGTAGCAATTAGCTGAAAACAAATATGGCCTCTCAAGGCAACAATCACTCATCTCATCTCAACAGCTCAATCACTCGGCTCTCAGCCCTCAATAATCATACTCAATAGGTACCTGCGCTCACTGGGAATGTACAGACTCCAGAGGGGCTCTTTTAGCCTAAGCGCTATAAACTGCACGGACAACTCACGTGCTATCATATACCTGCACTTACTGGAGGTGTGCAGACTCCTGGAGGGGCTCCTTCAGCCCAAGCGCTATAATCTGCATGGACAACTCACGTGCTGCACAGACAATTCAAGTGCTATAATATAATATCTGGATCCGCACGGACAACTCACGTGCTATAGTATAAATATCTGGATCCGCACGGATAACTCACGTGCTATAGTATCAATATCTAGATCCGTACGGGCAATTCACGTGCTGCACGAATAACTCACATGCTATAGTATTAATATCTCACAACTAGGCCCCCGGCCTTACTCAGACATCAATCTCTTCAGTCTCTCGGACTCTCAGAAATCATATAAACAACCCTACAAAAGTAATATTATGTATCAACAATAAACAGTAAGAGACAAAGGCATAATAAGCAAGAAAAGCTATGACTGAGTACAAACATTAATTTAGCAGCTAATTCAGCAAGTACACGACCTCTCAGGTCTCAACAGTGAACACATAAAGCCTAAACATGATTTCTAACATGAAGTACAATCAATTTATATGAAAACAGAGGGAACATGTATTAGACAGTAGGCTAATTGATTCCACAGTCTCGCGGGATGGACCAAGTCACAATCTCTACGGTGCACGCCCACACGCCCGTCACTAGCATGTGTGTAACCTCCAAAATAGTCATACGACACAATGTCCGAGGTTTCATACCCTTAGGACCAGATTTATAAACGTTACTTACCTCAATTCGAGCAAAATCCTACTCTGCAATGCCTTTGCCACTCAAATCGGCCTCCAAACGTCTCGAATCTAGTCACAATTAACTCAATTCATTCAATGCATATTATAGGAATTAATTCCTTATAAAAATACTAATTTTCCAACAAAATCCAAAATTAACCCAAAAATCGCTCGTGGGCCCCACGTCTCGGAATCCGAAGAAAGTTACAAAATACGAACGCACATTCAACCACGAGTCCAATCATACCAAAATTACTAAATTCCAACAACAAATCGACCTCCAAATCTTAAATCTAAGGTATAGAGAATACTACCATTTTCAACCCAATTTAATAATTTCATGATAAAACAATAATAGATTCATGTATTTTAACCAAAATCAAGTTAGAATCACTTACCCCAATGAAAATCGCCTCAAAAATCAACTCAAAAATCGCTTTAATCCGAGCTCCATAGCTCCAAATGTGTTAAAAATGACTGAAACTCGCGTTTTGTAATCTGTCCGGGTAAGTCGCAGGTGTCGAATACGATTATAAATCGCATTTGGTAACAACGATTTGCCTCTGCCCTAGAACACAACATTTCCCGCATTCATTAAATCAATCATAACTTTTTGTACAAATGTCTAAATGATGAACGGTTTGAAGCGTTAGAAACTAGACTCAAAGTCCTTTAATTTGAGAAGTTGTGCATCACATAACACCTTATATATATGTAGATATGCTCGTCCAAAGTGTGATCTTGTGCGTGCTCATTTAGAATTTTAGTCTATAATGAAAATTTTCAATTTGGCCTGGACTTAGGCCTCTCCTTAGACCCCAAATCACTTATAATATGCCTCGTACACTTATTATCATATCTAATTGATATCCATCATATTAATAGTCCTCGTTCACAGACAAAATAATATAGTTAGCGCACATCAACTTTCTTAATAACGCTTAAGTACTTCAATTTTTTTTTTCGGGGTGTTACACCAAGCAAATATTTTCTTGGAAAACAAGTAGTAATCTTATTTATTTTTCAGTGTTTGGTACATAAATTAAGGAAAATGACTTCTCAAGAGTATTCATAAATAAGTTAGATATAATAAACATGAAGCCATAAACTTTCAAACCAACAACCTTCCAAACCCACAAATTTCATAAACTTTTGAACCGCTAAACTTTCGAAACCGCGAAATTTCGAACTCGTAAACTTTGTAATTTCTAAACCCATAAACTTCCAAACACATAAATCTCCGAACTCATAATTTTGGAACTTGTAAAATTNGAAAAAAAAAGCCTTGTTGAAGAGAGGGGCTGGGGAGGATTGGTGAGGGTGGAAAAGATTGAGAAAGAGTTTTGGAAAATATTTTCCCTTGGGAAATACTTTATCCATTTCAAAGAGAATACGTTTGAGATATGTGATCTTAAATAAGTCATATCATTTGTGTAGCTATAAAACTTTTGAAATTTGTGGTTTGAAATCTACCATAGCAATTGTGGGGCTATAAATACTACTCCCTCCGTTTCAATTTATGTGAACCCATTTGACTGGACACAGAGTTTAAGAAAAGAGAGAAGGTTTTTGATCTTGTGATGTAAAATGAGGCACATATATTTTGTGTGGCTATAAATCATTGTGTAAAGGTAAATTGTTTCTAAATAAGAAAAGAGGTCATTCTTTTTGACACGGACTAAAAAGGAAATAGGTTCACGTAAATTGAAACGGAGAGAGTATTTATTAAGAAAATCTAGACATATGTCAATCTTTTTAAACCAGACTAATAAGAAAATAGTACAATTAATTTATATTTACACAAATATTATACTCCACATGTTTAA